ACTATTCGTTACTTAAGGACATTTGCAGGCGGGTCGTTGCTAGGTGCGTACATACAGCTCACCGAGCCAGCACAGGGGTATGCACGGCCAATTAGGGGGAAACTACCCACCTGGAAATACAAACCCGACGCCCTAAAGCCCCCAAACCTAAACCCCAATCCTTTCATGCTTTCTGCCGAGTCGGGCCTTCTCCGATGGCCGCTCCTTCGGCAGGAACTGCTTGCCGAGCCAGTAGTCGCCGGCCTCCCTGTTGATGACCTGTCATGAGGGTTAGGGTTGGGGGGGGGTGGGATTCGGGAGTTAGGATTCGCAGGTTCAGGGTTGTGGGGTGTAGATGGCTTCGGAGTCGTCAACTCTGCACCTCCTAAAGCTCAAACCCTTACACTCCCGTAAACTCGCAAAGCAGTAGATCCTGAATCCCGAATAAACCGAAGACCGAAAAGTCGGGCAACTGCACACGGGCCTCAACTTCAACAGTTAGAATAGGGGTTGGCGAGTATCTTGTAGTACAAATCTATTTGGAGGCATCTGAAAATTACAGGTGCTTTGCGTAGGATCCACACATTCAGAAACTGCTATGTTGATTGGTTCCCTCCTTTATGGAAACTTCCATGGGTATGTGCAGCTCAGGGTTTAGCGTTCGGGTCCTAAGGTCATAGGTTCCCGGGCCCCCTAAACCGTAAATCCTAAACCCTAAACCAAGTCTTTTAATTCAGGAATCTTCAGAGAGCCCAGCTAAAGAGTTTTGAGGAGCAAGGGGGGCATTGGAGGCTCAAGCAAACTGTGCTTTTCAAAGACCCAAAGCAAGCTTTGATATCATAAACCCCAAATTCCCCAAAACAACGAAACCTCGGATGTTAAGCCCTTTTCCTTGCACAGCGGAGAGCGAAGAAGTCCACAATAAGGTTTTGGGGGAAACGGGTTGAGGACTTGGGGGTTTCATGTGTGACTGCGAGCAACAGGCATTCGCTTTAGGGTCGGGTTTACCTGTAGCCTCCACTGTAGTCCCCTTTTTTGGTTTAACCAATTTTATAGTTAGGATCCTAAAAGGTGCCCAATCTCTAAGCTCTGACACTAGCTTGGTGAGCCACGCAGGCAACATCAGGTCCCTCTTAGTTGCAGACACCACGGCGAAGAGCTCAAAGATACCGATGCCCCCGAAGAAAGGGAGACTCAGCCCTTGGTCGGGAAAGCAGTTTTGGACATATCCGCTGGGATGTGTCTGCACAAGCTGCCTCCAAGGCGACTTCTAAGGTTAGACTGGTTAGACCAAAACTTTGTTTGTGGTTTGGTGGGGTTGCAGGGTTTCGGATCGCAGGGTAGGGCTTGCAGGTGGCCAGCTGTTGATGAAATCGAGCTCAGGGAGCATGGACCGACGGCGCCTAAATTATGAGGTTAGGGTTCAGCAGTTTGGGGGTTTTAAGTTTTAGGGAGATGAACAAGCTGAAAAGTGTCGTTGCGACCTCAATGCTTTCTACTTGTGCTGACCACAACGACTGATCTTGCAATCAATCCCCTTCTTTCTAGCCCAAATGCAAGCTCTAAGGAATAGAGTCTCTGACCATCACGTAGAGTATGCAAAGTGCTGATGATTTCTTGTCCTTTGATTTAGCTTGTAAGAACTCCGATAATGGGATGCCCTTACATGATTAGGAATTAGTATATTGCGCTGCTCTGACAGGCCCTCCTGGCAAGGTGTTAACTATTCTGTCTGGCCCAAAGTGTCTTCAGAGCTCTGATATGCAGTGTACAGTTCTTGCTAGTAGCAAGAGTACTGACCAGGTGATAAATTATATACTTGCCTTATCCGGGGTGCTAACTTCGGAACCTGAAGAAAGCGTAGGAAACCAAGTAGCATAGAGCGGGCGTTAATCATCTTGTCGTGAGCCTGTTGAGCTTCAGAGTGCATTGTCCGGGTCTCCGTGCATATTCCGGAGGTAGGGTTGCATTCTTGACTAGTGTTGCAAAGGGATTGTCTAGGCAGACTGGCGGTGTGTAGGGTTTGGGTGAGGTAATGTAGCACTTGGGCTACATGCTCTCTCTGACAAGATTTCTAGCAAGGTACCATATGCCCACAACGATACAGGCATCAGACATAATGTCGACTCGTAGATTGTGAAGAATGCATGCCTCCGAGGATTAAACTGTTTTGGGTGATTCCATGCTCTGTTGTCCTGCCTCTTATCGTAGCATCGGAATCCCTGGATGCGACTTGACTTGAGACAGTTCTTGCGAGGCTTCGATAGTGGCCTCTGCCTGATCATCCAATCTTTTTCTGTTTCTCATGCCCAGCTGTAAAACGTACGGGGCCTAACCCAAACCCCGAAAAACCCGGTGAAGCCTTAAAGCCCGTAGCCCAAACGTCCTGAACTCTAAACCCTTGGTATAAAGCTTCCAAAACTCCCAAGGCGCAGTGCTCCGACTGTGAGGCGGGGCCTTTCGGGCTAACAGACAGCTCACCCAAGTGTGAGAGCAGGACTTATGGTCCTTATGGTTGTATCTACACTGAATCCCAGAGCACAAACCGCCCTGGACCCTCTCCGGCCTGGAACTTCTTGCCCGGGAAGCGGAAGCGAAGGTCAGTGGCAATCCAGCCTGCCATCCGCAGATGTTATCGCATTCTCGAGGATTCATCTTCGCAGTGTCTTCGGCTTTAGGTTAGGTTAGGTCGGTCTTCGAAGTCGGGTTTTAAGTAAGAGGATGGTGGCCGTGGATCCGTCAATCCTCGACCCTGTGCGCTCCTGGCCGAGCCAACGTCGGAGTGCTGGCCGCTCTCCAATTCTGCCGACGGAAAGTGTCGTGACCCCTTGAGTTCCCGAGGAGTTCTACCCTAGTCTACACTCCCAAAACCCTATGTTCAGGCCCCTATACACAGGACAGTAGCTATCAATATCCTGTCATGAGGCGCTGACAGCGATAAAAGACTGAACCCAAACAGTCTCCAAATCAGTTTTGGGACACTTCCTGAGATCAGATATAACTAAAAGCTTTCAGAAATCTGCAGGTGAGGACGCGATCGGAAACTCCCCACCTACGGTGGCCAGCATGGCGATTGTGCCGTGCTTCTTCTCCGCCTCACACGAGAGGCAATGTGAATTTCGATTTATCGGATAAGAAATGGCGTAAGGGCTGTATGAAACTCTGCTGCTTCCGCCTTCATGCATGCCAGTGTTAAATATGTTCATCATTCATAATAGAAGTCCTTTGCATGGACAACCAGCTTTTGGTAAGGAAAGCTGTCGTCTCCGAGGTATATTATATACCTCTAGCAGAATTAGGTGGCAGAACACATCCTTCGGAAGAGGCGCTGAGTAGACCCGCTGTGCATGCGATCACATATACGTGACAAAGTTTAGAGTAGAGCCTAGAGTGGGGCATCGGATAGACCTTCTTTTCGAACTCTGACTGTGGTGTTGAATGTGCATCTTCGGTCGTGTGCAAATTTTTTCCTATTGATCGTCTGTCGCTTGTATGCTCGCTGCTGCTTTGGGACAGGGTCTTGACTTTATGGGTGCGTCCGGCATGCAGATAGTTGCTGTTCTGGTAGGGACTGCGCAGCAAGTGGTAATGGCAAGATGTGCTGCAGGCATACGAGGGCATCTTGACAGGGCTACAAGGGATTTTACATGAATTTCTACTAGACTCAGGTTTCTTTTGAGAACTTACAAAAGGACCGTTAAAGGGACCCTGATTTGGAGAACTACCCATATAGAACCCTTCTAGATCCCGTCAAGGACCCCTAAAACGACCCACACACAGGACAGGAGGACCGGCCTCTGAAACCCACGAGTTTAGGGTTTAGGGTTTAGGGGTTTAGGGTTTTGGGGTCTAAATGAAGACTCAGTGGGTCTGGGTATGTCTCTGTGTCTTGTGAGGGCCTGTTTTGGGGCTGTGTAGGGGTCAAGAGGCCTTAAAGATCCGGGTTTGAGGCTTCCGACTTTGGGTTGGCGGCCCATAGACCAGTGTATGGACTTTGGGGTTGGGGCGAAGGTGTAATGAGGTTTCTGGCGCTTCAAGGCCATCCGGGATGGTTTCAGGTAGGGTTGAGGGCTTAGGGTTTAGGGGTTTAGGGGGGTGCAGGGTTTAGGGCTTTAGGTATGTAGTGTTTGCCGATCTGGACGTTAGAGTGGAGGTTGCATGGTCAAGGTGCAGGACTCCCGGAGTAGTGTGGGCTTCCCGGGTCAGCTTGTTGTCTCGGCAAATAGGCATGCCCCGAACCCCAAGCCTGAACGCATGTGCGGAAGTGCCACCGGATCTCTTGAGCCTTCTGGCGTGGAAACCAAACTTTCGGAGCACAACATGCATCACAGTAGAAACCCAAACATGTCCTGAACCCTAGGAATGCAGGGGCCGAATTAGGGTGTTCATGAAGATGCATATTAATGTTGGTCTTGTAAGTGTTACTACTTCTGCCAGTGCTGCTGCTGCTGCCGCTGCTGCCGCTGCTGCCGCTGCTGCCGCTGGTATTGCTATTACTACTGCTACCGCTATTGCTAATGCCACGTCCATTCACCCTAAACCCTAAACCCTGCACCCCAAACCCTACACCCTAAACCCTACTGCAGCCTACACCCTAAACCCTACACCCTGAACCCTACGCCCTAAACCCTACACCCTCAAGCTGAATTGATAGATGCTAGACGCACCCGAACCCAGGGTCTGGATTTCTGTGACGTGAACAACCAGCACAGGTTTATTCAGGGGTGGTATGTTGATAATGTTATTCATGGACGGAGACCGAGCCGATAGGGAGGGGTGGGGAGGGTTCTGCTCGTGCGCGAGGAGGAGGGGGGGGTCTATCTGAGGCGGTGAGGGAGGGGGGGGGGGAGAAATAGGAGGGCGTCATCCTCAGCGCAGGAGACGGGAAACCGGAAACTGAGGCACAAGAAGGGTTTAGGGTTAGGGTTTAGGGTTTAGGGTCTAGTCTAGGGTTTAGGGTGCAGGGTGAGACGATTGCGCAGAGAAGACGCAGCAAGCATCGCAAGCCATTTTCGCACCTCTCATGCTCGAAACAGGTTGCTCAAGAGTTTCTGTTGTTTGGATGAGTTAACCACAACCTGTTTGGTCCGGAAGCGTCCGGATACAAGGCCGTCATACACGCTCAAGCCGCCAGTCCTTCCATCCTCTTTCATGGGCTCCTTACCACACGAGGCATCAATTTGCTGAACCAGCTGCCAAAGGCTTTTAGTTCTACCATTTCCATGCAGAAAACACACCTCTGACCCGGAGCTGCGCCATGAAACGATGCCACAGCGGTCCTGCGTTGTCTGCACTTGGAGAAGTGTTATTTCTGTTGCCTGAAGAGCAAGCCAGATGCGTGGCTCGTGCTCCAAAGCCACACGCTCAGGGAAAGTCTGCTGGTAGAAATGCCAGCCTCCTTGGTCATCCCCCAAAATCTTGTCAGCATGGAGAGGGTCTGCAGCTTGACCAGCCATCCAGCTGTACGCATGCCGCAGCGATGCGGGAGTTCCCAAAACGCCACCACTGTTCAGGTACCTATATCCCGTGGCCTCGCACAGGGCACTGCGGCAGTCTAGGCAATGAGCCCAACTTGGGAAGCAAAGCTTCTCTGCAGACACAAGGAGAGGCTTGCCGTGCCGATAATACTCTGCAATGATGTCGTGCTTGCAGTGGGTGAAGAACATGTCATAAGCATCAACGACCATAATCACATCCTCAGACTGGAACACATCTGAGGACAGCACATATGGCATTTCCTGCAGCATCGTGGACCAGAAAGTCTCGGCACCAAGACTCACCACATGGACAGGCCAAGGCGAATTCTCGATGAATCGATCCATCCAGGCGGATCCATAAATGCTTGTGGCCGGAAGGACCAGGTGCAGCCTGGGCGGCATCTTCAGCGTCCTAAGCCACTCCTTCGGAGTCCTGTGTTCGACGAGCTCGAAACCTTCGAAACCTTCCGGTAGCTGTGGTAGCTCTGGCTGGCTACCCCAAGGTCTCGTGGCCCACAGACGGTGAAGGAACTGGCCGTACATCAAGTCAAGGTCCATGTCCGCGCGGCCAATTTCCAGCTCCTGCCAGGCACCCGTGGACTTTGCCCACTTGCTGCGCGGCCCGAGGTCCGGGGTTCGCCAAACAAAGTGCCGGGGAAGCTGCAGAAGAGGATGGCCATGAGCCTCCGCATAGTCCAAGGTCGCCCGGAGGCCCTTTGGGAGGCCTTGGCAGTAGCTCTGGCGCTGGGCCACGCTCTTGTCTTCCGAGGTGGCTAGGCCATGCAGCTCCAACGGAAAGTGCAAGTTCTCAGGCTTGGCCAGCAGACCGGGGAGGAGCAGATCTGAGCCGGGTATCCTGCGCAACCGCATTGGGCCATCCAACAAAGTCCATTGCCAAGACGTAAACTTCCGCAATGGGCATAGCCGCCTGTCATAAGAAGCAGCTGTACCGTTCCTCACCATCTTCTCCAGGTCAGTCCACCCCAAGGCCCTCCACGCCGAAACCCCTTGGACCTCGAAAGCTGGCAGCACCAGCAGCACCCCAGCCTGGAGTAGGTTGGTCACTCCTCCAATCCAAGCCTTCAGATCGCTTCCCAGTTGGCCAGAGGGAACAAAGCCAGGTTCACACAAGAGCACAAAAGTGCTGCCGGCAGCGTTCACCGCTACCTTCCGCAGCAATGAGGCTGGATATCTTGTGGGCTGGCCGGTCGAATTCTGCTCCAGAGTAAGAGACACACGAATGGGGCCGTGATGTCGCTGGCGCATTGTTCGCACCCACGCTGTTGTCAGTCTTATGGAGTCTTCTCTTGTGACTCCGCCTGCCCAGATGGCCACACTGACCTCACCCTTCCAAGCCAGCAGCCCATCGATCGAAGAGAGATCGCGCAAGGTAACATGACTGCAAAGTGCAATATTGCCATGTGATGCATCTGAATCCCGCGCAGAGTAATCCATCTCTACTGTCTCAAGGGCTGTGCTCTCGTACTCGCACCTGCCAATAAGCGATGCTCCTGACCCACACAAAGCAAGCGGTTCCCGCCGATGTCTGCGTTGAAGGCAACTTCGTCTCAGGGCTGCCGCAACTGTAACTCTGTCTTTCCGAAAGTCCCTTTGTATTGCCTGGAAACGAGCATATCTGTACAGCATCTCTGCTCCAGACAGAGACCAGGCAGGATCAAACTTTGCACATGCGGCAGCCAGACGTGTGGCTTGAAGAAAAATAGGCTCCATAAGTTGGGGAAAAAAGTCCAGTGAACCATCATCGTCAAATTCACCCAAATGGGCGGCCACCAAACATGCATAAGCTGTGGCTGCGGTGCCAGGTATGCACCAGCCAGAATCTTGTGACGCTTGCCCAAGCTCATCCATGGCTCCCTTCAGATCATAAGCAGCCGAAATGAGCTTCTTGCGCGGTCCCATGGCACCCGCCAAATGCGCGTTGCAAAACTGAGCATGGTCCATGCCATTGGCAAGACCGCAGTCTGAAACAAGTGTAGAGAAGCTCATCCTTGCAACGTCCCATGTTGCGGGGCAGATACAAACCGGATGCATGGCGCCGTTCCTTGTTGATGAACGCTCTATATATGGGTGGCTGCAAAGGCCTCTTCCTGTGCACGTTGCCGTCGATGTCTCGGGTTGTATTTTGCGTGGTTCTAGAAAAGCCATGCAATCTTCTTCCAAGATTTCATGTTGTCGAAAACCTGAAACGGAGCCCGCCACCAGGATCAACATGATATGAACTTACTGAATAACTGCATTTAGTTCCGAACCAGGTGCTATGCATCGGGCTGCTGGGCTTGGGGTTGGGGGGTTAAGTAAAGGGTTTAGGGTCTAGGGTTTGGGGTTGAGGGTTTACGGTTTAGGGTTTAGGGCTAAGGGTTGAGTGTTTCGCACTTAGGGTTTACGGTTTAGGGTTTGGGGTCCAGGAGGCTGCTTTTGGGCTTAGTGCCAACCCAAAGATCCCCCATGATAACCCAAACCCGAAACCCTGAACCGAGCCTAAACCCTAAACCCTAAACATCCTGAACCCTAAACCCTAAGCCCTAAACTCCTAAACTCCGAAACGGCAGACAGACAGACAGACAGACAGACAGACAGACAGACACGTGCCACGCAGTCTGTTTGTGATTTCCATATCTGCCTATTTCTGTCTCCAAACTTATTCATCTGCCTTTTTATGTTACTTGTCTCGTGCTGTTCCTCGTGCACCCTAAACTTTTGCCCTAAACCCTAAACCCTCAACCCGAAAAGTCCTCCGTTGCTTTCTGCCCTCCTCGGTGCGGGATCTCGCAGACTCGGAGGCCATGCTGGCGGCTGGGGCTTTGCCGCCGCGCGCCTGTGGGGGAGCTTCGGGTTGAGGAGTTTTTGGTGTTTAGGGTCGCTGTCAACGTCCTTAAGCCTAGCCCCCAGGCTTCTTCTGTACAGCTTAGCAAAACGGTACCTATACCCTAAACCCCAAACCCAACCCTGAACCTAAGGTCAACTCTAAACCCCAAACCGTCGGGCTTAGGGCTCTTGGCAAGTGCCCCTTTGAGGCGCCGGAGGTAGGCTGAGCAGCCCACACACCGCCAAAGCCAGAAGAGCTGCGTGCTCGTCAGAGCTGTATCCCTTTTAAAGGCCCGGTTGGGTTTAGGGTTTAGGGTTTGGGGTTTAGTGTTTAGAAAGTCCGGAGTTCATGGTGTTTAGGGCTTGTGGCGCAGGACTTCAGGAGTCGCGGGGTTCAGGGTGTCAAGCTTCGGGGTTTAAGGCTTTCTGGGTTGGCTTGGGGTCGAGGCATTCTTCCACACATGACGCAGGAAGACTTAGCAAAACTGCAACCGGCAAAGCATATATAGAGTCTTCAAAGTAATATAATATGTATGTATATATATATATACGTATATACACATATCTCTCTCTCTATAGATATATACACATACATATATATATATGTGTGTGTATGTATATCTATATATATATATATGAGAGAGAGGCTCCTTTAGGGTCTATTTGACGCCTGGGTTATCCTACTCTATATGTAAATTATTAGAAATAATTAAAATAATTGAAATAATTAATAAATTCAATAAAATTAATAGCAAAGAAGGATCCAGCCTTATTTAAATAATTGAAATAATGGAAATAATTGAAATAATTAAATCAAGCCCAATTAATCATTTCAATTATTGGGGCACCCGAAAATAATTGAAATAATTGAAATAGTTAAAACAAGCCCAATTAATTATTTCAATTATTTCAAGAATTTAAATAGGTGGTAAATCTCTCCATAGGCAATAGTAAGGCCCGGCAATTAATTATTTCAATTATTTCAATTATTGGGGCACCCGAAAATAATTAAAACAATTGAAATAATTAATTAATTCAATAAAATCAATAGCAAGC